GATAGCTTTAAGCAGTACCCCTAATCTTGGGAAACTCCCATTTAGAGTTTAGGGTTGCAGGGTTTAGGAGGGCTTTCGTAGCTTCAGGCTTGGGGTTGCAGAGTTTAGGGTTTGGGGTCTACCTGGACCCCCAAAGTATGTAGAATAATGGCCCTTTGGGCTATATTTAGGGGTTTTGGGCCATTATTTTACCAACTTTGGGGGTTTAGGTAGGGCTTTAGTAAGTTGGGGTCTAAGTAGGGTTGGGAGTTTCAGGAATTCAGGGTTTAGGGTTGCAGGGTTTATTGTTTAGGGCTTTGGCAAATCAAAGTTTAGGGTTGCACAGTCTGGGGTTTAGGCCTTGGGGCTTTAGCAAGTCAGGGTTTGGGGTTGAAGGGTTTAAGGTTCAGGGCTTCAGCAATTTAAGGTTTAGGGTTTAGGGCTTTAGTAATCTACTGTTTAGGGTTGCAGGGGTTAGGGCTTTCGTAACTTGTTGTCTAGGGCTGCAGTGTTTAGGGTTGAGGATTCAGATCAATAAGCCCCATAGTAGCCCCCCAGATAGTCGCTACATAACCACCCTTTAAGGAGTTTAGACTATAGCTCAAATCGTGTTTTCTGAAAAAGGAAGCCCTGAGGAAGCTGCCGGGTCTTCTTGAAAAGTACTATACCCAAAAGGATGATATCATCTTACTTTCTGGGGGTCGGTCGTGTTCTTACGAAGAATACTACTCACCTTGACAACAATCGCGAAGGCGCCGGTTCGGGGGCTACCTGGACCCTAAAATTGCGTACACAGATGGCCCAAAGAACCATGAGCCCTAAACCTTACACCCGGTGTTATACGCTCTTTTCGTGTTCGGGTAGAGCTATGTGCACAGCATGCAAGGCTTCAGTGTGGGAATGATATTTGTGGGCTATGGGCTTGGGATGGAAGTTCGTACGTGTTGTGAAGCGCTGCCTAGTTGGGATATGCTAGGTTTAGGGCTTAGGGTTCAGGTTCCGGCTTTCGAGCGGTTTATGGCTTCAGTTTTTTTAATCTCTCCATTCTGCCTGGAACTCAAAAGACAAAGCCGGTGACGAATAGTCACACGGTCGCCTGCTACTTGTTGAAGTGAGTGTCGCTTTTATTCTGGTATGTGCCTGTCAGCACCGTTGGACGGATGAAATCTTAACCCTAAACCCTAAATCCCTAAACCTATATATCCCTGTATAACCCCATATACCCCGTATGCAAGCCCCATTATTACACTAGGAACTACCGTATACTGGGCCTCCTAGGTGGTGTAAGGATTTATTTCATCAACCATATCACCGCAGGAAACACAAGCAGCATCTTGGGTTGAAGGTCTTAGGGTTTCAGGGTTTAGGGTTTGAGGGCTTAGGGTCAGGGTTTAGGGTTTTAGGGTTTAGGGTTATAGAACTTGACAGGCTGGCTTGTAGGGCCTGAGGCTAGGTAGGGAAACCCCAAGTCATATCCAAGTACTTAATATTTTATGGGCTCTTACAAAAGCTTTTCTAGGTAATCCTCGTAATTCGCAGTATGCCAGACCCAAAACCCAAAACCCGAGAACCTACGACCTCAATTCTAAACCCTAAGCCCTAGTTCCCGAAACATCCTACCAGGCCGATCTGGATCCTCGCTAGTGTTGCTTCCTGGGCTTCGACACATATACAACTTGGCATCCAAACCCCGAAGACCCAACCTCTGAACCATCAGACCCCCAGTTTCCACTTCGTTCTCCGTTTCCCATCCATGTCATTAGAACCGGAATCCCCAGAGTTCGCTACAAGCACTACCTTAAGCCCTGTATCCCGCGCCTCTGGCTTTTTCAACCTGGCCCGCAGGAAAGACGATCACTCATCGGCGTCCCATACCTTCCACACCTTCCCGGTGCCTGCATCAGCAAGCCCCCATCGAATTAGCCGGCCGACTTCGCCAACTTGCTGTTCGCTATCCATAGCATTCCAGGATGCCAGAAGGCCAGACTTCGGGTCAAAGATCAGCGATTGCAGCTCGATGTTGAACTGGTCGATGTTCATGTTGTTTTTGATCCTAGCGAGTATGAGCTCTTCGTCAGCTTCGCAGGATGCGCGCATGTTTCGAACGTCCAAGTTCTCTAGCGTGTGTGCACGCTTCATGATGGTCGCCCCGGATGCAAGTTCAGTGCCTGATTCATGTGCAGACGATTGGCCTCTGCAATCTCGGCGACACACCAAGCACGATTGAACAAGTCCAGAGATTGGTCTACCGCAATCACTTGTCTGCATCCTCCTGATGTTGCAAGGTGATACATCATGTCATCAAACTTGTTGATCTCTGACTCCGTACTTCGACCATCCGGATCAGAGATGTTCACGCTACTGCAGGTACACACGGGGTGCAATTCATTTGTGAAAGGATCGCGATCATAGAGGTTGTTGTGGCATATGCAAATGTGCTGATTGACTGCAAATGCACAAATCCAGTACGTGTCATCCAGGCCTCCGCTGTCATTCAGGACCTCCTGAAGGAATGCGGGGTCTGCCTCAAGCAGCTTCGTCGCCAAGCTGAAGCTGCATTCTTGTAGGGCATCTGCGATGACCGCTGCAAGTAGATCCTGCAAACCGCAGCGAGCGCGGGTTGAAACCCTTCTTCGTGGCACTTTAACATCCAATACAAGTTTAACTTTTAGCTCGCGCAATATCTCATGTTATGAAATAGAAGAACTACAAAGTAAGTTATAAAGTGCTACAGTGGTTTCCATTTTCTGTTCCACTATGCCTATATAACCCCCATACCCTAGATTCCACCAAGTCTTATCCCAGTCCCATCAGTTGAAAGCCTACACTCCAGCCCGCACCGCCCCTTCTACCCTCACACCGCGGCCTTGGAAGCTTAAGCCTAAATCTTCACCTTTGCACAAGAAGCACCACCCAAAAAGGGTTTAGGGCTTAGGGGTTTAAAGGTTTAGGGTTTAGGGTTTAAGGTTCAGGGGTTAGGGTTTAGGGTTAAGAAGCAGGTCCTTGAAGCGATTACCCCAATTGTGGGTCACCATGACGTCAGCTCTTCGTGGGCCATCCAGGTTCAGAGCTGAAGCTGCATATGATGACTCTTCCCTGCGAGTAAGAGGGATGATCACTCGGCGGACCACGTCTCTGGTCTTATGTTCCCTGGGCACATAGCTCCAGTTTCGCACTGAAGGAAGTTCGTCCTGATAGAAGCGGAAAAGGCTGCGCAAGGTCATGCCACGTAGCGAAAGCTCTTCAACCTTTGCTTCCCATGCAGGACTCCAGGCTGTCTCTTTTGCTAGGACTGCTCGAGGCTTTGCATGGCGTACCTGGCAACATATTTGTCGACGGGCTTGGCCAGCTGGGATGGGCTCTATGCCTTTCTCAGACAACCTGTGGCTGCCAGACAGCAGCAATGCAGCAATGGCGTTCCCCAGGGAATCCAGGGCCTGAATTGTAACTGCCACCCAATTTAGCCAAGGAAGCTCCTGTCCGAGGTGGTAGACAGTGTCATGAAGTGTCAGGCTCGTCACAAGTGCGGCTGGAACGGCGCAAATGGTGAGCACCAGGCTAAAGGATACTCCTAGCAACTGCAGCAAGGCAAACCTTCGTGCGCGTGATAAAGACGATCTCGCGTCAGTTGCTTCGACTTGAGAATCTGCAAGGCGTAAAACTCTCCTCAAATCGAGCAAGCATTGGATAAGGGAGTAGACGATGACTGTGCTTGCTGCCATGTTGCAGAACCAAGTCAACAGCGAGGCTGCCACTGCTGTTCTCAATGTGTTCGTTTGTGATTTACTATTACAATAAGAACAATCGCCAGTGTCATATGTGTCATTCGGGTAGCAATGGAAAAAGAAGACACTGAACGAGAGTTCAACGACCACGACACCCAGGGCTTGCAACCAAATGAACATCCTCAAACAACGGCTGCAATATTTTTGCCTGGATTTTTTTCTAGTATGGCTGTTCTCTTTGCCAATAGCGTCTGCACCCAGAGCAGACCAATCAGATAGAGCGCCAGCCTGCAAACAGCAAACGCTTCGTGGAGAAATTCATTGACTTGCAAGATATCGGCAGGGAGGAAGCCGTATTTGCACCTGAAGTAAGACCTGTCATAGACATCGCCCTCATCCGCCCGAAGCATGAGGCAAGTTAACGAGCCGAACAAAGACTGAAACCAGTTGATGGTTGCATAGCCGCAGGCCGAACGGGCATGGGATGAAGCTTTGGCCCGCTTCTGCAGAAATGCTGCTACACAACCAGCTCCAAAACTCGCAAGCATCAGGCTGGAGAAGGCGATCATGTCTGAAAAAGGGCAGTAGGAAAGCGATGAGGGGGCGGACTTCAGGATATGGTATTCATTGAACGCTGGGTCCCACTGGTACGTTGGGATCTCAAAGCTTCTAGGGAACAGACACGCTGTAGCTGTAGCATTCACCAGGAAGACAAAAAAATATGATCCGGGGTGCCATCGCTGCCATGTCTCCAGAGCCCCATGGGGTACTCTGGACGAGGTTGAGGTCTCTGAGGTCTCCTCAGATCTCTCAGAAACTAGCTGCACCATGCTGAAGATAACCACCGCGGCTGCAGTGATCAGGTTCCAGCATTGATGTAGGGGCCTACATAATGGAAAAGAAAATGGAAACTACTATACTATATTGGGGTATATATGGGGGCTATATAGGGATAATGGAAAAGAAAATGGAAGCTACTATTACCACCATGATGTTGAGGTCTGCTTGAGGTACCCTATACCATAATCATACAAGGAACCTGGGACCATAGTAGAGGTGATGGGTTTAGTTCCCCTTAACTAGATAGGGTTATTTTGGGGTTATATGGGGATAATGGAAAAGAAAATAGAAACTACTATAATGGGTTATATAGGGTATAGAATATGGAGCATATGGGGATCTTACTACAATATACCCAAAGCCATATTCTGTCTACTTAAGGGGGACTACAGGCCTCTACATCACTCTTGCTGGACGTATGTCCGCCATGCCTGCCACCATGATGAGATCGATGTGTTGTTGTATTGAATTCCAATCATCCTGTCATAGTTCCATGCAACCCTAAACCCTAAGCGCTGAACCCTAAACGCTAAACCCCTAAACCCCTAAACCCTAAACCCTATGGTAATTCTGCGTACGGTTCACGGATGCTTCCCGCGACTTCTGCCAAAGCAACCAAGCGAGCTATAGTCTAAACTCCTAGTATCCCCCTGAATAACACGGTTTAGGGTTTAGGGTTTATAGGGTTTAGGGTCCCCTATATGATCCCTCGTACATATATAACCCCTCTGAAGGAGTTTAGA